ACGAACATAAATTTCAAACATATTTGTATTTAATATAAATAATAACAATTTCACATATTAAATTTAATATAAATAATTATTTTGGCTTAAAATCGAAAATATATCTCCCGTTATTAAAGTTAAAAGTATTAGGTTTTCCGTGTTAATTATAATACTTTTCTATTTTTACCGAAATAATTTGGAATATTTAAAAAATTGCTTTTCAGCATAGTGTAATTTTGTAGTACGTTTTGACGCTAAGGGATATTCATATCAATTCAAATAAATATATGGAACCAGTATTAAAATGTAATCACTGTAAGATTTAAGAAACTTTATGAAAATATATTTCAAATATTATAACATTAGGTAAATAATTATGTCTTAATATATTTAACACATAAAAGTTCTCTAAAAACAGGATATAGAAACATATGGCTATCAACTTTCAAATGCAAGATAATTTCAGAATGTGGAAAAACAAACATTGTGATTTTTTGATATGTTTAAGTCTGATCCCATAACCTTTTTTATATTCTATTATTTTCCGCAAAGTCGAAGATGGCGTATTTTGGGAATGAATTTTTGAAGAAGAAAAAACAAGCTTTTTGACTGGTTTGGACTCATATTTCAGCATGGTTATGCCAAAATTACTAATAATGATTTAATATCAAAACACTTGATGTTGTGCTGATTACATTCGAAATATCTATTGTTTGTATAAAATTTTCCAGTTTTATACATTTGTATCCTTAGTGCTCTTTGAAATGGGACAAAAAGAGCTTAAAATGCCTGTCCATGTGAAATATAAATGAGCCAATTTATGCCTTCTTTTTAGCATAAAAATAAAAAATTATGAGCATTTTATTTTTGGTATTCGGAGAGTGCCGATAAAAAATTTCGGCTGATTGTAGCTTGGAATTACTCATATTTTAAGTACAAATATTTAAATATAACCCAACCGCTGGTCATTGTTACCCTGAAATTTTTCAACAATTTTATGTCTTTCAGTCATTACTGAGTGTTGCAATACTAGAAATCTATCTCAAAAGTTTCTTAAAATTAACTTTTTATATTTGGCTCACCAATTCATTTACTTGTTGTTCTGGTGAAATTCTTGTAAACACAATGACATGTTTGAGTAACTGAATCTCTGCGACAGATCAACGGCATTTTAGCCTTAACTCACCAATTTTATGGTAGTTTTTCATCCTAATTCCTGAAACAATTTATTTTTATTTGAAATGAATTAACTGTTTTGCGATGGTAACATTAGCACCATTTTCCTTATGTAAAACAGTGTCAATCTGCTTCGCCAGGATCTGAATTTTGTCATCTTCTTAAAATAGATTTTTTTGTTTTGTTTTATTTACACAGATTTGATGTTTTCATTTTTTGTAAAACAGAAAAACTGCGTCTTGGCTTGTTAACCAGATCTCTTTTTTACTTTTACCATATCTTCTGACAGCTTTAGATTCCTTCCTTAGCTTTTTTTGGCTCGAAGAATGTGAAGTAAATGGAAGATTCTTAACTTTATACTCCAGTCAGTGACAGGCCTTTTACTTTTTAGTTTTCTGTCCTGGTTCATTTTTAATGGTCAAAATATAAACATTTTTTTAACTAAGTAGGTTCTGAAATTGCAATGACTTTTTTAGTTTTACAATTAAAGGTTTGCTCCTCAAATGAGTACTTCAGCGTCACTACTTTGTCCAATGAGCGAATGGGAGATTTTTCATTGTAAATTTTCAATTTTTTAAACCTGCTTTGTAGATACAACTCAATGTTGGATTTACACTGCAGTTATGGTAGCATAGGTGATGCTCAACGTTTACAAATTTCACAATTTTTAATTTCCCACACACAACCACGCAGATTAAATACAGTTGATAATTTTGGAAAAAATAACAATTAAAATTGAAAAGTATATGGTCTTTTTGGTTTAAATATTTTTTTTCTCAAAAAAGACGACCCTCCAAATTTTGGTGATTAGATTTTGACTTAGCGTACATGATGCTTAAGGGATGGTGGGCACGTCTCATCAATGTTCACTGGAAGTGTCCATTTTTCGAAAATAGCAAACATTAAAAAAACAAATTAGACATCTTTCAATTTACAATTGTGAAGGTAATTCCCGCCCCCCCCCTACATGAATGGTTCATCAAAAACGGATCACTCACCCAACGTCCAGGTCAAATTCGCAAAATATGAAGGGTTTTGTCTAATTTAGCGTCAAATATTAGTCGCCCTGTTTTCTTGATGTAATTTGAGGGGCTGGAGGCAGTTTTATATTTTGGGGAATCCTTCTCGGTTGTTTAACCTATCATTCAAATCGTAAGAATTTGAAAAACGTAAGATGTCATAACGTAAGCATTACAATTTTGCGCGAATGTACGTGACTTTCCCTCGTTTAAGTTAAAAAGTTAAGTGTCGAAGTTATTAAATTTGGAATAGTTTTGCTCTTTGAGCGTTTCATTCACGATCCTGGAGACGATTATAATTTTATCCATCTAGATTTATCTTGCATGGATACGAGTGCTGTGTTGCCGTTTGAAGAGCTGTCATTTTGAAATTCTTTTGTATTTTTTTTCTGATTGACATGGAACCATAGCCGGGCTTAATGTTTTATTTAATATGAATACCAGTTAAAAACTGTGCGTGACGTACAAGTGGGCGAAAGTGTATTCTGTGAACGTTTCCGTGAATTCTGAAGATCGCTGTAACAAATCCCCCTGTAAAGGCAGTTTTAGCTGTAGCCGCTAAGGCAGTGGCGAGTCGAGGGGGCATGAGCCCCCCCCCCCCAAAAAAAAAACTTCCGAGTTTTCGTTTGTTCCATTGCCATGGTGGAAATTTCATTAACTATTTAAATTTGAGTCGCGAGTTAATAGAAAATAATCCAATTCTTTCCTAAAAAATACTATTCAAATGAATTGGCGAAAAAGATGAAATATAACAATGGAAAAAAAAAAGTAGTACCGTAATTTTATTTATTACAATGAGATTTGATTATTACCTCCTACGCGGTATTGCGATATTATGCAGCGATGGATATTTGAGATGTATTTTCGAGAAGTTCATTGTGGGCGACAAGAATGGAAGAGAGATTACATGAGACATCATTATTTTCTTGACGTTAATGTTATGATTGCGTTCAATAAAAAAGGTATTCAACGGGAACACACACACTCACACACGGATACATATACAGATATCTATAAGGTAATGATATCGTAGAATTGAATAGATTCATAAAGGAATGGAATTTATTTGTGAAATTATATTTGCTTGTCTGTATGATGAACTGTAAATGTTTAAAATACTTGTTTATAATAGTATTTATTTGCTATTTCATGTTTGTTTTTCTTTCTTTTTTTAACTAACGTACGAAGTAAGATGAGTTTTTGAAAGCATGGCTTTAGCAGGCTTTGTGCTTCACTGGTCTCCGGGGCATTTATTACTTTCATTTCTTGGTTAATTATGAAGAGACTAATATTATGGTTTGGTTATGTCTTCGTTTAAAAGAAAAAAATATTTAAGAGTGAACTTATAGTCACGGCAAAAATAATTTTGTGTTCCAAACAAGCAATAGTGTTCCATAAAGAACTTTTATAAAACCACAACAGTGCAAACTGGAAAACAGTTCCATTTATGGCAAGAATGACACTTTTAGTCAGAATTTATAAGAAAATAATAAGACAGTGTCCATCAATGCTTGCGGACTTCGGTTCAGGGTGTTAATAAGACAAATTGCAGTATAATATTATTATTAATACATAACCGTTACTAAGGATGCGAGGCAGTATGAGCTGTTTTAGCTCCACTTGTTTATTTTGACGTTGACGTGGAGTCCGTCTCTCTCTGAACAACACTGCTGCCTGAATTATTCATGGGGTTTTTTTATAAAATGGATCCTTTTCCGTCGATCTGACCCGACTTACTGCTCTGCGATTTTGAATAACGTTATTTAAATTTTGGGAGAACTTTACATTAAGCCACTGCGACATTTTCAAAAATTTTCTCAACGACTGATTCTTTTTTCTTTTAATTTCTTGTAAGAATACAGTTATAAAGGTGGCATGCGTCCGATTTTCACTGTGAACTCAGAATTTTCGAAAATTGAAATTTTTTCGTCATATTCCAACTAAAAATTGAAGATAAGAGATATATACTTTCAATGAAAATAGTTCTCCAAAATTAGAGCCTTTATTAAAGTCATGTGCATTAAAAAAATATTCTAGTAGTTTTCGCGCAATATTGAGTGAAAAAAATGCAATATTAAAAAATATCATAAACAAGAATTTCTCAAAAACTGCTCCAATTTTTTCTGTAAACTTTGACAGGGATAGTGCTAAATGCACTGCATAAGATGGCATACATGCCATGTCCCGTATTCTTTTGTTGTTTTTTTAAAAATTACAAAAATGCCTATTTTTACTTTTTATGTCGTAAATGTTTCTATTAGCAGTGATTTGCTCACATTATTGTATTTATGAGGATATATATTTTAAATTGTGGCTAATAAAGTTTCTTGAAAACTCAAAAGTTTTACATGAAAATGGGCAAATTTCCACATTTTCAGAAACGCTCAAAAGCCATATTCTCAAAAACAGCTCAAAATTTTTTCTTCAAACATTCTATATGGTCAATGTTAAACGCACTATTAAAGATGACATAACAATCATTTTGCTGTATACTTTTGTTTGTTTGTTTTTCCAAAAATTGCGCAAAAGTTTTTTGTTTTGTGTTGTTTTTTTAAATACGTTTATTAATATGTACATTTGCAGCGATTTGTTTACAGTATTGCATTTGTGAGTGGAAGTGTGTCAAATTTCACATTTACAGTAACACAGTTCCAAATATTTCAATGCAAATTTCCAATTAGGAACAAGGTTTTACTCTTCTTTAATATTCTTATAGTAATATTTTGGAGCTGCCATTAGGAAACCAAAAAATTGAGAAAATTTCAAAAATATGAACTTTGGGCAGCTGGGAAGCCCAAAAAGCTAGTCCAGACCAAAGAAATTAGAAAAGTAATTAGTACAAGAAAGTCTGTGCCATTCTGTTGCACCACTAGTTGTAATGTACTGGTGTTGTTTCTCAGTCTGGTTAAAGTCTGAATATACTTCGCCACTTGCTGCATATGGACATCACAGGCTGAGGCTATATATGAGGCTAAGCTCAATACTGACCTAAGCCATTGCTGTGCATTTGCAAATATTGTAGCAAACTTATTTCTTAACTTTCTCCCCCTACGAATACTTCAAAAGAAGAGAAAGTTAGGTTATTACATGCCAGAAAACAGCGAATTTCTAAAAATATGCAGTACTGGCCCAAGCCAGATTTTGATTTCTAACCATTTGCTGACATGAGATGTGACTTGGTGCATTGCATATATCTATACATTCTGAATAGAGAGGCACCACTGCCACAGAAGCATTTTGGACTGTTTTTACTTTTCACTCATGGATATTGCTGATAATATCCATACTAATTTGTCTTGAATGTGGAACAATACGAACTCAAGAAATAAAGTTAAAGTGTTTGTATTCAGCTTTTAATGTTCCATACTAGGCAGTACAAAAATTTGCTTCTTTGCCATTTATACCTCAAAAGAACATTAATAATCCAAACACAGTACGCTAGACCAGTGACTATTCCTTGGTATTAATTGTTATTTCACTGCAGGCTAAGGGTAGATAGATCACATAATACACACTTTCTTCTAATGTTTCTTTATTTAGACAATGCATAATTAAAGCAAATCACTAATTGTACCCAGTGGTATTAATATGGAGTAAAAATTATGCACTGCAGATATTTGAATTCTACTTTGATTTATCACGTGCATCCTATTTTATGCCCTAATATACTGTCAAACAATAGCTTCTTCAAATTTGATTTATTAGAAGCTAGACTATTGACAGCTTTGGACTAGTAATTTTCTTTCACAAATTGGATATCCTATTTACTCAACATCATGCCTCCTATCATTTTTAATATTAATGCTGGCAGAAAGTTGTTACTTATGGATATTCGCTTCAAACATATATAAATATTTCTCAAAGTCTGGAAGGAGAAGGAAGGAAAAGTTTTATAAATATTTATCTTACAATCTATTTCAAGGAACACACTAACTGCCCCTTAATCAGTGAAAAGACCATCATGGGTAAGTAGAATGAACCATAATACATACAACACAGTTTCAATAAGAGTATTTTTGAAACCCCAAGAAATACATATTATGTTAACATAACAATAAATATCCATATTGTGATGTTTACAATGATTAAATGATTTTAAATATTTGTAACTGCCAAATCCTGTATGTAAAATCATATGTAACAAATAACTGCGTAAGAAATGACACTTTCTAAGCTTTATTTAATTGTGTCATTGAATTACATTATATTCACAATAGATTATGTTTTTCACTAATTTTATGGGGTAGTTCCTGAGCAAAGTTTTTGTTGTAGTTTTGATAGACTTTTTTTGAGAGGAGAAGGAAGGAAATAATAATCAATAAAAGAAGTGTGATTTTAGTACAGAATGACTGAAAGGAAAAATGGACCTTAAAAAGTACACTTGATACCTACAAGAGACATTTGATACCTACAATATGTATTCTTCCTGTTCTTGCTTCACAAATAACAGCTATGGAGAAACCATATGTTTTTAAATTAATAATTTCTATACATTGTTGGAAGCTTAACAATTATGTAGGGATACATTCCACATTATGCAATTGTTAACTACAGTTGCAAACCCCTAGCAGGCCACTAGGCATGATATATTATAAATTATGTTTTAACTGTTCAAATAACTGATAGTCCCCAGCCAAGGCAGTCAATTTTTTAAATTTATACCACATTACACGAGATTTATACCAGGACATTTGAACAGAATAATCGTGATTATAATCAGACTACTAATGGATTATACTACAAATCATTGTAATTACCATGCAATTCATTTTGTATCAGTGATCTTAATTAACTCCCTTAAATTATGAAAAAGTAAGAATTTTAAGTTCCCTAATCCATAAATTCTCATATCCAATTTGGTTTAGTTTTCCCGCCCCTCCTCCTCCCAAAAAATGTACCTTAAGTGTGAATACATTAAAATCATGCACATGAATAAAATAATATTCATATCCTTTCTTACAAAGTACATTTTACTAATCTTGAAGTTTGAATATCTCCCAAATTCATTTTCATTTCAGTCTGCCCAGGTGTTATGGTGTATTCTAAGATGGGCAAGGCACATGAACATCAACTAAACCATACAAGGTAGATATTTTATAATTAAGGTGTTTAAACTTCTGTGAAAAAGTACGATAATACAATTATATTATCTTCCATAATGGATTGTCCAGGAATTATGAAACCAGTACCATATAAAAACGGATTCTAATTTTAATCCAAAATATTCAACACTATTAGCTTTTACCAAAAAGTTGCAGAGAAACTGTAATATCTTACCTACTAGTACTCAAATGCAAATTCAATTTTCTAGAAAGTGGTTCAAACTACACATCTGAACTTCTTACTTCTTAATTTCTACAGGAAATTTTAAGGTCAAAATTATTGGTTTATTTATAACAAAAAGATACAATTATGTCAGTAAAAAAAATTACTTATTACTGGTTGCCGTGCACATTTTGAATTACCGTTAATTTCATTGCTCGTAGGTGCAAATATTTAGCTTGAAAAAAATTAGTGCATTGTAACATGCAGAAATAAATCAATGTGCAACTCCACAACACTGTTCAATCTCACAACACTTTTGAGTTCCATCACTTTGGAGCATGCAATTACCTATTCTATGTTTTGGCTTTATTTTGAATAGGCAAAAAAAGTTTAAATTCTGCTGGGAGTTCATCTTCAGAATATAATCTGTCAGAGAAATAGACTCTTCTTATACGACAGTTTGCATGAATCTGCACACGTAAAGTTTCGATGTAATTTGTGCCATATGCTCTTCGGGTGAAGTCTGCCAAGTTGAACTGGATCTGATTCCATCCATCATCAAGCCTCATAGGCATTGTGCAAATAAATGGTTTTACTCTTGTTGTAGACTGATAATTGCTGGCTCGAAAACGTCGTCTGACATTCTTATCATCCAATACCTGCAAACGGATACAATTTTTTTTTGATTAAACAAAATCGTGTGCAATTGCTATTTCACCACTACTGGAAAAACATTTCTTACCTGAACTTCAAATGTGAAATACTTTTTTAAATTTTTAATAATCATCACTAGAAATGGTAACTTGATGCCAAGAGTCTTCTTTGGATCTGCTGGGCATGTTATGTACGTGGTACTAACATTTGTTCCGACAATTTCGAGTACTAATGACTGGATGTCATTGTCTGTAATGCGTTTGATATGTCCATTTCGAACCTTTTTATCCCATATTTGCAATGGCTTGCTGCCTATGCTATAAAGTATTGACAAGAATCCGCTTTGAAATGTGTTTTTAAACATGATTGTATAACCTTATTCCACAAGATTATTGTCAAGTTTTCGAGACGCCACTTGTCAACAATAGGTTCACTTCCTCTTTTATCCAAATACAATTAGTAGTGTGAATTAGCTTAAATCAATTGTTCTTGCACAGAGTGTAATTGCCAGGGATTCATAAGCAATAAATACCAGGAAGTACCGAAATGTTTACAACTACGGAATTCATTTTACCGGCTGGCGGCGTCAATTGGCAGCTCTGGCAGCGACACCGTCGGGCAAGTACATTCCGCACCGCGTCCTCTTCGAGATCTCATGATTGCGCGATACAATGTTCACAAGTCTGGAAGTAGGATATACAATGCAACTGGACAGGCGCAATCATTAAGAAGGCTCAGAGTAATGAATAAACGAAGTATACACTTTTTTGTTGCAATAATGAAATTAATGATACGTACTTCGGAAGTTACAGCAGCAGTAGATTAATATTTCAATAAATCACGACTTGGCAACTTCGAAAATGCTTGTTATTTGATTACATTTGAAATTGATATTGCCTACGTTTTCACTCCAAAGCTGCAATAAGCAAAAGCAAGCTAACACAATCTTGCAGTTCTTTTAACGTTACAAAATAACCATGAACCAGGACTCCGAATGTTGCGTTTCTTGCGAAAAAATACGTCGATACTGGAGAATATTGATAATCAGGATGACAATATCAGATACTATTTCGCTCAATTAGATATTTCAGTAGCCAGAAGACACATACAAATTTTTGATTAGGTTCCCAAAGACTAAAATTTATAATTTTTTCTGATACAATGCCCAACAAGGGCTGCCAATACACCCATCAAAGATTATTATGTTGCCCACAGCGTTACTATTTTTTAACGCTCTCCGGTTCTTTCAGTCCTTGCTTCCAAAAAGGGAAAAATCAAAACAAGCATTAAAATACTTCAAATTTAATTAAGACGTCTTTACAATACAAAGTACATATCTAGGAGCAATTAGCTCGTCGCTCTGTCAAGTATTTGGTGACGTATCTCACCAGTTCGAGATAGGTTTGTCAGCAGTGCGTTGGAGTGGTTTGCCGGTGTTTCCTGCAAACGCCCAGTCCCCCACCTTACCGTCAGAGAAGCATCAGTAGTTTGACGTTCAGTGCAATTGGGTAAGTCTCTTGGTTATAATTTCGTTTGTGGACGTTATTTGTTTTCTCAAAATCTTTTGGCGTTACCTTCATTTAAAGGGATGAAACCGGAATATGAAGCATCGCAGAAAATGTATTGAATTATAATTTCATACAAGCTGTCTTGCATCATTGACCGGTATGAAGTTACTCTATGTTACTTTATGACCCTTCATTAACCTCCTGTATCAAGAACTTCTCCGTTTTAGTTAAATATAACCATTCGGTAATTCATGTCTGAAGACAAGTTACTAATACTGAATTGAGGATGTTTTTGAACAAGTTCCAGAAGATATTTCAGTGAATGAGTCAGCGCACTACGCCCTGTGTATCATCACCGTTTTCTGTTTGCTACCGTGTCCGCGAAATCTATTTCACCGCGAACAACTTATCTTGTGAAAGAGTCGAATATGTCAATGGACCCATATTGTTGTGCAATGCTCATATGATACATACGCCATCTCGAGCATTACTCTTAAAATTATTAAACATTTAAATTAAGTTTTTGAAGTGATATAGATTTATCTCACATGAAATGCATGCGAATTAAGAATTTCTAACTATTTCTTGAATGAAAATTGAATGACCTGCCTTTGTTTGTAGTTTTGAGATTATATTTTAAAATTGCTCTTTCTAAGACATAATCAATAATTTTTATTCTAAAACTCAATTTCTAGTTAAAAATTAGCACTGTAAGTGAAAATGAAAATATGATTGTTGGTTTTCTGAATTTTGATTCTTCTATCAGTATTAAATGAAGTTTCTTTGAATACAAAATGTTAATTTTAATATTAATGTATGTGTTGACTATTCTGAGATATGCCTGAACATTTAAAGATTATTTTTGACAGTTATTTAAGTGTATCAGGTAAGTAAGTGGTTAAAAATGTAGGTATTTGTTAATGTATAAAAGAATCAATGTAGAGGTGGATGTAGATAATTTAGCAGGTCCAAAGGCCAAAAATTATTTTAATCCCAGCAAATGTGTTAGTATTAAGTTTGGTTGCTTGTACTTCAAGCCACAAAAACTAAAATATTTTCTAATTTTGATATTTGAAAGTGCTGCTAAGATAAATTTTTATTATGCAGTGTTTAAAAACAGATTTTCATCATTGACTTTCTTGTGGAATTTTATTATTTTTATTTGACAATTTGTTTTTGCTTCACGATGTCTCATTTTATTTCAATGTGCATTGACGTAGATTGAGATTTATAATTCCCATCCACATTTCCAGGAGTGCTTTCCCAAGTGACAGAAGCAGATGTGAAATTTGTTATTGCTGACAACCTAAGGGGGAGGGCGTGAATGGAATGAGAGATTGGGGAGGGGTCTTGTAGTGGGGAATTAGTGCATTGAATGCAGAGACAACTTCAGTTATTGATCTGCATTAGAAAGTAACCTGAAATGGGACAATGAACAGTGTGGTTAGAATTGATGTATTATGGGAGAAACATTTGATGTTAAAGTTTGAAGTAATGTATGGAAAGATAAAAATGGCATGTATTAAGAAGGAGAAAGTACCAATGTGTAGTATGCAAGTTTGAGTAAAGTATGCAGATTATTTTCGAGAACTGTACCACTTTGGAATTGGAAAGCCTAATAGCCACTTTTATTATATATCTGACAACCTCAAAGACTGATCAAAAATTCCAGGACAGCATTTTGTAAGCTTGGACCACATAAAAATGAAAATGAGACCAGATCACTTTTTATTGAGGTTTTCAAGAAATCTAGTTTGAAAACTGTCAATGTCTCGGATCAGACAATAGAGAGATCCAACATGTCAAAACTTCCTGTTCGCGAGAAGTGTCGGATAGAACCTTGCCAATCTGCCCCCGAGGTATTTTTAACCCCTCTCGTTATTCTTCCTCTTTGTGGCGGTGCGCGGGCGGAGTTCGAAGGCGGTCGTTCGGGTGGCGGGGGGGGGAGGGGGCTGGACCCGGGATCTGCGCGTTGCGTGCCCGGCGGTGAGTCTTGCGGCTACAGATGGCAGGCGGCGCCGCGGCCGCGTCGCGACGGGTGCGTTAGAGCAGGAGCGGAGCGAGCTGCGCGGGCGCGGAGCGGGTGGCGGGCGGGGCGCGCGGGTGCTAGGCTTCGGCGGAGGGCTTGGGCCGCCAGGCGACGGCGGCAGGCGCGTTGAAGCCTGGCGAGGCCGGAGCTGCCCCGGGCGAGATGACGGATTTCGGCCGCTCGCCCCGCTCCCGCCCGCCCGGAGCTCGTCTCGTGAACCGCCCGCCGTCTCGAGTGCCGCGAGTGTCTCGTTGGGAGTGCGTTTGTGAGCTCGGGCGGCCTGTTTTCTTGAACGACTGCCCGGTTTGCGTCGCGGGCGCGTGAACGTTCGACCGCGGCCGTGGGATTCCTCGCATATTTCCTCGAGTGCTAGTGCGACTTCGTTATCTGCATGTATGTAATTTGTTGAATTGTTACGTTTGTGGAAGTATTGATTTTTAGTATATTGCAACCTGAAAAATGTTCCGTGACGTTACTTATGGAATATACGCAAGTTAAAGGGGAAAATTCATAATGCTTACAAGACTTGGAATGCGTTAAAGATCGGTTGCTTCCTTCTAACCCTTCTGTGCTTCTGCTGCACTTCGGAGCAATCATGTTCAAAAATTGTTGCGGGTGCAAGACGCCTACCGAGAAGAAGCAGATCGGGGAGAAGGAGAAAGACGAAGCGTATTCGAAGAGTTCCTCCAAAGCCGATGGAAACCCCAAAGCGGTGTCCCCGTCGAAGGTGGTGCCCAAGGAGGACAGCGGGCCCGTGTCGTCCGCCCCGCCGAAGCCGCCCCCGCAGCCGGAGAAGGCAAAGTCGCCCGCCGCCCCGGCGCCGGCGCTAGCGCGCGCCCCGAAGCTCTCCATCCAGGGGCCCGACGACCCCGCGGCGACGGCGCTGCCGTCGGAGGAGCCGGCGGCCAAGGCGAACGACGAGGAGACGCTGACGAAGGAGTCGACGCCCAGCAAGAGCGGGTCGGTGGCGGCGACGACGGCGACGGTGGCGAGCGGCGCCGAGGACCTGTCCGCCGACGGGGACGGCTCCAAGCCCGCGTCCCCGGAGCCCGACACGTGCGACGCGGAGACGGCGGCGGCGACGCTGCGCGCCTTCGCGCACGGCATGCTGCACACGCCGCACCCGTCGAAGCGCTCGGGCAGCGTGCCGGGGCTGGGGTCGCTGCCGCAGTGGCTGTCGCAGGAGGACGATGACGACGACGTGTTCCGCGAGGGCGGCGGCACCACCGAGCCGCCCGCCACGCCCGTCGGCCGCGACGAGCTCGCCCTCCGCCGCCACCGCTTCTTCTCCGACCTGCTGCAGGCGCACCAGGCCGCCACCGAGCACCGCGTGCGCTTCGACCCGCTCGGCCCCATCGTCGCCGGCGGTCAGTCGGACGCCACCCCCGCTCTCTCCCTCCCTCCGGGCTTCGTAATGTGTTGAGGCGGCTCCACACATGCGGTATTCGGCGAATCCCGAGTACTGTGGACGGGTTGCTCGCTATTCGCCGGGCGCCGAACATTCGGTGTTCCCCCTACCCACCGCATGTCGGTTTTTAGGACGTATCAAAGGGAGCAGACATTCGCCGAACACTTCAGCTGTTCGGGGTTGGGCGAGCAGTAGCTCGCTGCTCGGGGAATGCCGGATGTGTGGAGCCGCCTTTAGCCAGCTCTTGATTTCGAACTCCCGTTTAATCACATCCCCACTTGAGCCTTGCCGCCACTTTTCCTTCCACTTCTCTAATACCCATCGCTTCTCACGGGTGTTCTCTTGCTTTCCGCCCTTTCCTAACGCTCCTCCTCGCTGTTCTGCCATCCCTGCCCTCTGCCCTCTCCTCGCATGCTTTCTGCGCGGTCGATGCCACCCTCTTCGGGGTTGTATCCTCACCTCTCCTTACATTGTCTGGCGACCTATTGCCCTTTCGACCTTTGACTCTTGCGGTGTCTCCCCCCCTCTGCTACTCTCGCAACCTTCCCAAGTTTGTGGTCAACCAACCCTGTCTTACGTTGCGAACAATAGCTGTATTCATTCCGCGAGCGGGCGTATTCATTTCTGCGAACCGTGTTGGATCGTAGTACGGGAGAGGCGCTCGACGTCATTCCGACGCAGCTCTCGGAGGAGCGGGCGGGGCACGTCCGGTGATTACAGAGCCCCCTCCCGTCCCAGCCCGGGCCGGCCCGGCCCGTCCTGGCGCGACCCAACCCAGCCGCCCGCGCCCGCTCGTAATCTGCAGGCGGCGGGCTGCGCGGCGCGGTCGATGCATTCGCTCGAGAGCGATCGGATGCGAGCCACTCGGTCATGCGTGGCGGGCAGTGGGTTTGTGGGCTGTCCTCGAACAAAAGTGTCAAAAATTAGGCCTGTCAGGGAGGGGGGGAGGCGTTGTAGGTAGTTTACGATAAAAGCTGAGACAAAGATTTCTGTTGAACTGCTTCTTCTTGCCACAAAAGGTGATTTGTTTGTTGATTGATATTTGGTTTTCCCGTTGTCACACCAAAATTTAAGCTTAAAGAGTTTAGTATAATATAGCATTCTAATTCTTTACTATCCATTTTCTAGCACTTGCGTATTGTAAGTTTCGATAATTGAAATATTTCAATGTTTGGTGGTAGTTGCATATGTCTATCTTCATTGTCTACGCGCTTGCAGGGCAAACGTTCCGAAAACTTAAATTCTTTTTTTTCTGTGGCTCTGTATCCCTTTTCTGCAGCATCCTTTAAAAATGCTATCCAGTAAGTCGATCCGGGTTAATGTGTCTGCGACTGAAATAAAATTTATTGTGGCACATAAAATGCCCGTTGACTCGTAAAGCAGTTTGATGTCGGCGACACATAGCGTGCGATGTCGTAGCTCTTGGCATTTTCTTTTAGCGTTCGCTTTGTTTCTTGGCAGGGTTAGTGTCTCGGGTTTTTCACCCGTGGCCTTCGGCATAGGCTAAAACAATTTGAATGTGAGGATTGTTGGGGCCAAGAGAGGGTGATTGGGAAAATTGTAATCAATGGAGGTTTGATAAATCGAATCTGAAGGAAAAAGGGGAAAAAAAATCGTTAGTACGAACATTTCTACTGGCCGAGGTAAATTTTGACTGATGTTAAGGGGAGTGGACATTTTATTTTACCTAGGTTCTTTTGTGTCTGTCGGAAGTGATGAGGAATGCAGACGTTTTTACCTGAATGGCAGTTGGAAAAAAAACGACTGAAGACTGGAACCTCAAGTCTGAATCATAAACCGACTCTTAAACTTGTTTGGTCGGCGAACTTGGCAAGAACTTTCACCCGCAAACGCGATGCGGCCGTTTTTTCTGCTTTTGGGCCCCCGCAGAACGCATGGGCGAGGAATCAATACGGGCCGCGCCTTTGGCCTAGCGAATCGCCGCCGCCCCTCTGGCGCCCGTCTCCGCCCCCCGCGGCCCGCCGCCCGGCTGCGCCCGCGCCCCCCTCGCGTGACGCCGCCTCCTCCCGCCGTCCAAACTCCGCCCCCGCACCCGCCCCACTCGCGCTCGCCCCTGCCTCGCCGCCTCTTCCATTACGGCGCGTGAGCCCTTCCCTCATCGCGGACCCGCCCGCAGCCGCCCTCTTCCGTGTGTGAGCCCCGCACCCCGCCCTTTCGCACCACGCTCCTGGCCTCCCCTGCCTCTTTCCTCACTGAGCTGGCGCAACCCCTCCTCATCGCGTACCCCGCCTCTGCCTCCCCGCCGCCGGCGCACCTCCCTTAGCCCGCGCCATCCGCCTTGCCCCGCCTCCGCCCCCCTCCGCCCTCTCGCGCACGCGCCTCTCCGCCGGCCTGCCCGCCGCATCTCTTCCCCGCCCCCTCCGCCCCTACGGCTGCGCACCCTGCTCTTCTCGGTACCCCGCCTCGCCCTCCTCCGCCTTGCAGCCGCCCCATCCCGTCTGAGCCCCGCCCCACACCCCGCCCTTCGCAACTGGCTCCTCGCCTCCGCCTGCTCTTCCTCACGGCTGTCGCAAACCCCTCCCTTCTACCCCGCCTCTGCCGCTTCGCGCCCCTGCGTCCGCCCCATCCTTGAGCCCCGCCTCTCGCCGTCGCTCCCGATCCGCCCGCCGCCCTCGCTCGTTCTCCTCCCTCACGGGCTGCGCTCAGCCCCTTGGGGTGTGCCTTCGCACCCGCCGTCACCACACGCCCAGCTGTGCCTCGTCTCTTTTTCGCCTCCTGCCAGACTGAGCCATCTCACTCTCGCTCTCACTATCACTCTCTCTCCATCTCTATCTGCACCTCCTGCATGTCTGTGCTGTGTTCTCATTCTCATCTTCACCTCCTACCCTTCACCATCCTCATCTCATTCTCAATTTCGCCGTCTGCCAGACTGAGCTGACTATCTCTCTCATATGCACATTCCTGTCTCTGCCGCGTCCTCATTCTCATCTTCGCCTCCTGCCTTCTCTATCCTCATCTGCTCATTCTCGTCTTCGCCCCCTCCCCACCTCTATTATCATCTGCTCAATCTCGTCATCGCCTCCTGTCCGACCTTACCCTTATCTCCTCACTCCTACCTTCGTCCCCTCCCCTGCCCTCCCCTCTCCACTCCCTCACACCCGCCCCCGCCTTCCGCGCCGGCCCCTGCGCCCGCCTCCTCGCCGTCGCCCTCTCCAGTCTGTTTGTCCGTTTCCATCACCCGTCTGCGCTCGGCCCCTTTGCCCGTTCACCGTGCGCGTGCCCGAAAACATGCAGCAGCAGAGGCGCCTTGGAGCAGGCGCGGCGACCCAGATCTCCTGCCCGCGGGCCCCAGACGCTCGCTCTCGGCAGCCACGGGGGAGGAGGAGCAGCAGCAGGAGATGAGAGCCGATAATGTGAAAGGAGTGCGAGGTGGTGTTGCGTGTAGGGGGCGGCGAAGGTTCCTCTTTGTTTGCGGAGCGCTTGAAAAATTGCGTGCTCTGTGCGCGGAACGTACCTCCTCCACCTGCCTCTAAAAGGCCATTAATCTTGCGGCAAATGCAGGGATGGCTGCGGAGGGGCGTTCTCGGGCTTCACGATTGTGGTAGATAATTGTGTTGCACTTTGTAGTGGTGGTCATCCTTTCTCGTCGCTTCTATTGTAGAATGATTTATGACGGGATTGACAGTGTCAAGAGTCCAGATATTGATAGGTTTGTGATAATTGATATGATCCAGATATTGATAGATTTGATAAATATGCAATCATTCAATCGCAAAATCCTGTATTTTGAAAACACTTTTCCTGATTTCATTCTGCGTGGATTTTGAATTCTACGTGTGCATAACAAGGGAATGGATTTTCATGTAAATACGCTTTTTTTACTGGTAATCAATCATTTTTATTTTTTTAGTGTGCATCAGATTCTGAGCGAATGAAAACAATATTTTACTTTCTACTGCACATTTCGTTACATTTTGATATATGGACATATGGAAAAGGAATATTTCAAATACTAGCTTGCAAATAAATGTTATAGGAATAGTCTTTCTGTAAAACAAAGTGCAGTAATATTTGACTTCTGACGGCCTCCGGACCTTATTCGTGAACTCTCAATCTTACCCCGTCCTTCTCGGAAATTGCGTATTCGAAATTGAAGAACGAATGGTTGCAAAGCAGATGTAATTGCAATCACATGCTTGCGTGTGGTTGCAAGTACCTCACATTTCACACTGCTTATGCGTAAATCGAAACCTGACAAAATTTCTTACGGATCACTGTCTTAAGGCGCTTCTTGGACCTCGCCGAGAAATATACACGCCCTGTGTCAGGGATTCTAAGTTCGGGACCACTTCATGAAATCCCGCCCGCTCCAGTTAAGTGGTAATACTGCTTTGGAATATGATGTGATCAGTTTGTGGCACTTTCTTCTCAATAATTTGAGTTCAATTACAATATTCGATGAGAATATAGTTTCCATGCGCGTCAACTACTTAGCTCATTTGTCCCGTAAGTGTAGTGTATGCCCCGGAGGTGGTAGAGGTGGTGTGCCATCTGTGCTGGAACGTGAATTCCGGTTCACTTTTTTTACGGCTTGCGGCTTATTCCCCTATAGGTATTTCCCCAGCACTTGAAGGAAGAAGTTTTTCTACAATTACAGTATTGAAGATAGTTTTCCCTCAAAGAAATGTGCTCTTTTAGGATATATTTTTAAATAACATCACGTTCAATTTTTCGAAAATGTCGGTAGTTTTCCCTCGAGTAGTAAATGATAGACAATTTTAATATATCCCCCCCCCCTTAAAAACGTCTCCTTTTATTTTCTTTTAATTGTTTCGATAGAGCAAAATACTAACAAAAATGGCGCATGTCCCATTTTCGGCGGACATTGCATTTCGAAAATTGATTGCAAAAGTACAGTATTGATGATAGGAATGTGTTTACTTCATGTCATCTGTTCTGGAAAATTGGATCGTTGAGGTACTATACATTTTTTGAAAA